GGTGTGACAAACATTCAAACTATTGCATATAGTATAAGCTTGCTACTCCTTTGGAAGGAGCTGGGACTTAAGGTTTCCTTCCTGACTGTAAGGCACTGTGTTCAGGGCAAGATTAGTACCCAAGTGTATCTCTCTAATTTTCTTACCCATTTTAATGCGGATATTTTCTCAGTTTTCCGGTGTTTAGGAATCTTTTCAGCTGGATCCTATCTTTTTCTAGGAGAGAAATGATTCATGGATAGTTGTTGTCTCAGTGTATCTCTGGTAGGAGGAATAGGAGCCTCCTATTCTGCCATGTCACTCAGGTCACTCTCAATGTGATTTTTGGCACTGAAATGGTCAGGTATTTTGTTTATGGTCAGTTAAGAGCCTTAAAAGTCAGAACTAAATCAACATGGGGATTTGGGAGGTTTTATTTCTCACCACGTTAATGAGCTTACACTCAGTTGCTCCCCATATTAGTAGAGGAGAAGAAAACCTTTCTCTCTACCCTCTTAGGTTCAGTAGTTGATGCTTGCAAACTAAACTGACAAAAGACAGAAGAACAGGAGAAAATGTTTATTGCTCAGGCAGAATGAGACAACTCTCATGGGAGTTTCACAGAAAAGAAGTACGAACTCAAAAAGTGGTTGGGCTTGAGACCTTTTGTATCGTCTTAACCAAAGGTGCTAAATTGTGGAAGAGTATCAAGACAGAGGACAAAGAGTTTAAGCTTGTAGGAGTCATAAATTATAGGAAGATAAATATGTGGGGGAAACTAATGGCAGACAGGATTGATTTTAGTAAGGTTAGTTTGTGTAGACTCAATATTCTATCTCCTATCATAAGAATTGTACTTTTTTTTCTTGGGAGAGAGTAGGGAGAACAAAGGAATATTTATCCCCTGCTTTTAGGCAGAGAGGAAAAGGGAGAGGGAAGAGAGATTTTACTCTGTCTGTATTTTAATTGCCATCAGTTAAAAATGATCTTTATGCAATAGTGGCATTTTTGAGGGTGGCATATTTTGTTCCCCTTCATTAGTAAAATCTTTATTAAACACAACTATATATTTGTGCCCCCCCATGCATATGTTGAAATCTTAACCCCCAAATGATATTAGCAGGTGAGACATTTTTTAATACAGTGCATTTTATTTTATTTTTTAATAATTATAGCCATTTATTTGCCTAATGACAGATCATCAAAAAATATGAAGCAAAAAATTACGTAATTGAACAGAGAAACATATTTCTACAATAATTGTTGAGAGTTCGATGTCTTACTTTCAATAATGGATAGATAAGCGAGAAAATAACAGACTTAAATAATACAGTAAACCAACTCGATCTGATAGACATATACAGACCACTCTCCCAAACAACAAGAGCAAACACATTCTTCTCAGTGCCCCTGGGACATTTTGCAGGAGAGACTCTATGTTAGGTCATAAATTAAGTCCTAATAGATTTTTTAAAGTTT